AATTTTATGACAAATACTTGAGAGAGAAAGAAAACCCCGAACGAAAACGGATTACGTGCAATTGGAAATTAAATTAGTGGAGGGAGAATAAATCGGGGGAAATTGGATGAAGGATGGAGCTGGTAGCAAATGATGACTCGCACAAAAGGGAGCAAAGAAAATTTGTGAGCCAGAGAACAACTCACTCAAGTGGCGGTCACAGTGGGGACCCCTTCGAATTGGTTAAGTATTTTTCTTATTGTTCGTTTTCTTGGGCGTCTCTCTGATTTCTTCCTCGTGCGATAAGCACAAACCAAACCAAAACCAAAACCAAACAAACAAACGAACATTTTAATTCCCATCGAGTTCCTTAAGGAGCAATTTCGACTCATTCTCGAGGCACACAATGGCCATGGCATGAGGCAGGCGGTGGTGGTGGCAGCGGGGAAAATTGCGTTCTAATCGAAGCGAATGAGCCAGGCACTCGCCGCAGTGCACCTTCTTTCTATGGCGGCCATTAAAATGCAGCCCCAAGTGTGTTCTTCTATTTATTTCACGAATCAAATTACAAGAAAACGGAAAAAACATTAACCAAAAACGACAGTCGAAATGGTAAATACATCGGCAAATAATTTAAACTTTTGCTATATTCACATATGCCGTACCCTTTTACATACATACATCCATATTTCCACATGCTTTGCCGAAAATCAGGCGGGAATACGCGTGCCAGCAGCAGTGATGCCAGTCATGAAAAACTAGCTAGCACTGAAAAAAAAGCTAAAATACAACCCAAAAATGTTGTGGTGATTTTGTGGTTTTGTTATCACTCAAAACAATCTTCCACCTTAACCACTTGCGCTTGCAATTGTTTAGCTTTTTAAAGTAAATAAACAAATAACATAAACAAGCTGAAAGATTTTCAAGCTATTCCACTCCAAAAGCTTCGAAATCTGGCCAAAGCTGATATAAGCTGAAATGTCAGCACTGACGGCCAGCTGCACCGAATACATTTTTTGCAAATGGCGACGCTGCCTATAAAAAGGCGAGCGCAGTCGAGCCACGCTTCATTTATTATTTTTTTGTTCCACTCCACTCATATACTCCTCCACTTGGTTGCTGTTCCAGTTTCGGAAGAAACGAATCTTCCTCATCAGCGATCTTTTATTTTCGATGTAGACGAAATGGTAGATCGCCCAGATTCCCAACTAATTATTTAGTTTGATGAATTAGCTTGCTTGCGTTTTTCTCTGCCGCCCTTCCCTTCATTTTCGTTGTGGCCAACCAAAGCTCAGCCTTGGCCTTGGGGAGTATCTTTTGTATCGAAAATCATGCCACAATTTTCCCCAAATACTTGACATAGTCGCCCCCAAACATTGGTATTTTGTTCTTTGTTTCTTTTTTTTGGTCAAAACAATTTGCGAAGTTTCTTCTGCAGAACTTCTAGAAGAAACCACACTTCCTCATCAGCGATCTTTTACTTTCCATTTAAGGAAAATATGGTAGCCCTGAATTAAATAAGAACAATCTCTTCAGATCTACTTTTTTTTTTTTATTTGATCTTTTTAACGGCATTTGTAGCTGTTGCCTGTATCTTTCAGCTGCAGACCTTTTTTAAGATGAACATTTGTAGTTAGCCTCTTCAACCCTTTCTTCAAACTAATTTCGTTTTCTTGCCTTCTGTCTACGCCAAAACTTGACCAAAATGCAGCGCGTGTCTTTGTGTGTTTCCATGGATCTTTGTGCATGTCTGTCTCCTTCTGACCTGTGTCTGTCCGGTGTCTCCTTCGCATGTGCTTGTCTCGCTGTCAGTCCGCATGTCTGCTTTCCATCGCTGTCCCGCCAACTCAAACTTGACGGACAGGCCGCCGCTGTCGCCCGTCCGTGCGGTTGTTGAGCTCAGCTCGGTACCTCTTTGGCCCTACTCTATCTCTCTCGGTCTTCTTGTCTTTTTTTTTCTCTTTCTTTTGTGAACACCTGAACTCCTCTGGCACACTGTTGCTTGTTCTGGGTTCTCTCTGCGGTCGCATTCGGTCTCCTTCGATTACATTGCGTGAGCAGCTAAAAGCAGTGGATGATGGAATGGGCACAGGAGAGTGAGTATGAGGGGAAACGCAAGAAGCCTTGTGGAAGATGAGAAGATGAGAAACTTCTCTTTTCCTTTTCTGTTCCTCCTAAATTTTCTTTACGGGAATAATGAAACCATTATCATGTCCGCAATTTTTGTTTTGTCTGTTTAGGCTAGGAAAGGGAATTTCTCTCTGGAATTTGCTCTTTATTGCTGACTCAAGTCGCTAAGAACTTCGCTCGTTCCGACTCCTGCTTCAGCTTCAAGTCCCCAAGGCAGTTGGTTCGACAGCAACTTCAATTCTTCTGACCCGAACTTCGTTTGCCTCTTTGTTCCCTTTCGACTCTCATACATTTTTTTTATTGAGTAAAATTTTGATTTCAATCCGATCAACAGATCAAAATCAAATGTGCAATCGATTTCTCTATGCTGTGCCTTAAGAAGAAGGGCAGTGGGGGGGCAAAGAGCGTAAACTTAAGCTGAAAATCGATTCTCATTACAAAATTCGTAAAAGGGTAATATCTGATATGTTATGAGGGTAAAGATTAGGATTTGTTGACTACAATAATCTACTTAAGGGATAAGTCTTGTGCTCCACAGTAGATTCCAGAATTCAATTAAAATTTTCCGTGTCTTTACCACCTCGAACGTTTGTGTTGGGTGGTGATCTCTTTCGTCCCTTTTTATTTAACAATAGATTTGTCTATTGCTTTTGTCTAGATTCAAACCCTAGGAGTTCTTAGCGTAGGATCGATCCTCTTCTTCCTTTCATTCTTGATTAAACCCCATAGAACTTCATCATTCAAGTATAGTTTTCTTTGCTGGAGATTGATCGGGATTGCGTTTAGTCTAGTTGATAGTTGAGATGGCTAAATTGGATTATTTTTTACATCAAACTCATTCAAAACCGACTCGACAGAGAAAGTTGATGGATGTGCTGTCGATTATCTCCCGAATCTCAGCGAAATTCCACCATTGCATATGGTAGCTGTGTTTAGTGGCTTTCGAGTTTTCTCGTGGAAATTATTTGTCAGTGCCTCGAAGGCCTCAGTGTAGTCAAGAGAATTTGCTGACGGAATGGAAGAGCAGGAGTGTGAAGTTAATGAGTACAAAAAGCATAGACTAATATGGAGGAGGGTGGCAGAATCATTCCTTTTCGAGTCCATTGCCAACTCGGGAACTCCTTCCTCTACCTTTGAGTTATCTACTGTAGCACGGAGAGAAACGCCTGTTCCAGGTCTTTACTAAATATTTCCTGTTAGAGCCAAATCGACATATGATATTTTATATTTATTTAATTAATTGGAATCCGGAATCCGCTTTCAAAGCCAAGTCCGACATAAGTTCTTAAAAGTGCTTTGTAGCTAATTATTCTCCAAGAAAGGTTTCTTTTTTATCTTTTTTAGTCACTATGGAGGAGGCATGGTATCTTCCCACTCTTTGGGGTCATTGCGTATGCGACTCTCGTGCATAAACATCCGCCGTGAGGGAGGATGGATGGCTCCTGTGTTGAGGCGAGACGCCTCCAAATGAGTCTTTAATCAAAAATGCAATAAAAATAGTGTGGAGAGTGTGACAGGAAAAAGAAGTAGAGAGGGAGTAGAAGAAGTAGCAGAACAAAATATGTTGAAAAATCACTTCAATTTTCCCTTCTTTTCAACAACAACAAAATTGTCATGCAAAAAGCGTTCCCAAAAGAGTTGCGTAGCAGCCAGCTTTTGGTTGGCCGAAGAACATGTTTTGTCTTGAAAGGAAAAAACAGGTTATCGTGGAGGGGGAGGGGTGAACAGTGACAGTGCGGGCGAGAGATCGAAAGGTGTGCTGCTTGCCACAGAGCGAAGGAAGGAGAGGTGGGGCGAGGCGAGGGTCTAAAAGAAACGGCAGCCAAAAGCACAAACACATGAAGAGAGCGGCAGAGCGAGATTGCTGGCAAAGAACTCAAGAGACTTCAACGCCCCGCACCAAACACCGCACACCACCCCTCGCACCTACGAACAAAAACTGGTTAAAAGTAGATCGTTAAACCGCAATTCAAATACCGCGCGCATGTGTGCAAGCGAGATGTCACACACACAGGAACACACACACGAACGAAGCGTCGAACTTGACGAAGCGAACTTGTTGCGTATCTTGCATTGCCCCTACATCAGTCGCAAGCGGTTTTTCTCCTCCTTCCGCCAACTGTTGTCACTCTTTCCATCCCTGTCCCTCGTATCATGCCCCTTCCACAAGTTACTCTCATCTCCCTCTACCATCATGGGCTCTGGCTGTGGCAGCACACTGCTTGCTGGCTAACTTGTTGCCGTTTTAACTGGTTTTTCGTCTCTGGAAACTTGTTAACAACAAAACGGGTTCAAGAAACGCTAGAAAAACACACGCTGTTAAGCAGTGTGAAAAACGCGCCGAAAACGCGTCCAAGCGCTGTTAGAGGCTCAACATGTTGCTAGTCAAGTTCGAAATGTTAGCTGTCTCTTCGAATGTTATACCTTCGTACTCTGCAATTGTTCGGCTCTCTCTCGGTTGTGCAGGCAGCATGTTTCCAGCAACATTCGAGACTCATTTTTGCGCACTGCTATTGAGTAGCTGCAGCACATTTGTGGCGTCACGCCGTTAAAATTCATTATTTTGAAAATGGTTATGGCAAAAAATTGATCTTTAAGATGAACATAAAATGTGTTTGTTATGTAAAAAACACATGACATGCGACATACAGCTCCAATAAAAAAACAATCACCTACAAACCTCACCCAGCCGTCTTGATCAGCAAATCGCTCTGATTTATTAATTAAAATTCATATATTAAATATATTTTCTCTGGATTTGCATTGTTTGCATAGAGAATGTTGTTAAATTGCAAATTCAAGGTATGTCAGGAATTGGGGTGCACTGAGTTTCTCGAACCGGCAACATGTTTGCCAGCAACACGACGTTCTGGCAACATTCACGAGTGGACAAAGTAAACATAAAAAAAATAAACCGTCGGGTCGAACGGACACACGAAACGAATCTCGTGAAAACCTAAAATCCACCGTTGCCGTCGCCGCGTTGTTGTCGCAGTCGCCGCTGTTTTTCGTAAATAATTTAAAATAATAAAACAACGAAATATTCAATGCAATTGTTTACACACAAGACAGAAAAATTAATGGGAATTCTGTAAAAAATAATGGAAATTGTAAAGCAATAATCGAAAGGCAGCAACTATTGAAAGGCCCTCGAAAGTGCAAGAGTGTGTGTTCTTGTGTGTGTGTTAGTGTGTAAACAACAGTTAATAAACAACGAAATAGTAGAAGAAGCAGATAAAAGCCAAGACGAAGGAGTGCTCAAGAAGGAGAAGAAAAAGACCAAACCCCGCAGCAGCCAGGCAGCGCAGTCAACGGCGACGCCGGCTTGGCATCATTAGTTGGCGACACGATCATCGTTCGCTCTCGCTCTAGCGCACACGCATCTTGCTGCTTGCTGCTTACCTGTCAAACAGGTTTCTTTTTCTTACGTCGCGACGCGCGCGTTTACGGAGCGGTGCATGTGTGCGTGTGTGTGTCTGCTTCTTGGAAACCTTTCAAGCGTCAGTCAGCGGCACTCTATAGCTCTCCAGCTCTCCCGCTCTCCAGCTCTTTTGCAATGCAGCTACGACTCTAACAACAAAAGCAAAAGCAGCAACAAGCAAGAAAATAAGTGTGTAACGGAGAAGCAGTGTGGAGTGGCTGTAAAAATGCTTCAAGACCAGGCCTAAATCGTGTGTTGCATAGTGTATGAGAGAGTGCATTTGGTTTTGTTGGTTTTTTCTTGATTTCTCCCCTCGATTTTGTGTTGCAATATTCCCGAAAATATTCAAGAAACCAAAAACCATGTCGCGCAAAAACAAAAGCTAAAAGAGAGTGTGTGAGAGAGAGGGGAGTGGTAACTGCCGTTACCCTAAGGAATAGCGGAAGGCAGTGGAATAGGAGCTGCTTGGAGTGCGAGTTAATAGCAAAAACAAAGTGCAAGAAAAGCAACAAAAACCCAGTGCAATCGCAAACTGCGAATACGAACAACAAGAACAAAACGAAGAAGGATAGCACATCTCACATCTCATCTCACCCGAAAAACCAAGCGCAACAACAGCAATGAGGAGAGCAGCAATAGAAACCGAAAGAGGGACGACGGAGATGGCAGCAACAACAACGACCCGAAACAGCAATGGAAGAAGAGGAGGGTGGAGAAGTGGAACAGCGCTAACTGTTTGTCACTTTTTCTTGATCGGTAAGTTTCTGCTTGTACCCTGCAAATTGTGCAGGCGAGATTATGAGAGGAAAGTGTTTCAAAGCAAGTAAAATGCAGATGGGCAAAGCAGACAAAGAAGAGAATTTGAACAAAGAAGAGTATTCGGGAATACGGAAAGGGTTGGCATAGGGTACCAAAGCGCCGACACTCCCGAGCCTTGTCTTTGCTTTTGGTTTATTTTGTTCAGCATTTAATTCTGCTGCACCGGTAAACTCAGTTAAACAGAGAAATGGAATGACAGAAAGAGAGAGATCAAGCAAAGGTCTCTCAGGGGGATTCAAGATTCGCAAAAACAAGCAAATATTTGGGAACTTGTACTTTTGATAAGAAATATTCATATGGGGGAGATTATTGGTAATCCTGAACAATTTGACTTTTTGCAGGTAAATTTTTCATTTAATTTCGATTGCAATTATTTAAACACAATCAAAGAACCAATGAATAAATCCTCGATAAATAAGAAAAATAAATCATACAAATGTATGGAAGTCCATTTATTTTGAAAGATTTGTACTTCTGCTCTCCACTTCAACAACCCTCTAAAAAATCCACACAATCATTGAAATTTCATAGAAAATATCTCAGGAAAATCTGTTGTTTAATTCCCCTTTGATTCTTTCATGAAACCTGCCTCAAGTATCTACTCCATAAGGCTCTCCTATAATCCGCAGCTATCAACTTCAATTATCTTCTAGAACATCTTCGAATAATCTCTCCTTAATCTCCATTTTATCATCGCATTTCAATTAAAAGTTTAGCTGCCTTTACTGGCTCTTCCTCTCCATCGTTGCTTCTTTTGTTATTTTTACCAACTTTTGGTTTTACTTTAAAGCCGGATTTTGTTTATGACAGGTGTCTGCTCTCTCCTCGCACTTTAGAAACTCCCCTTTCGTTATCACCTTTACAGCACTTATTCCTTGTCTCTCTCGGTCCTCTCCTTTCCCCATTTGTTGTTTGGTTTATCCTGCGGGGCGAGCGCGGTCGCCTTCGTCGCCCTTGCGCTGCGTTGTCGCCTCCTGCAAGCGTCACTTTAGTTTTTTGTTGCTGTCTGTTGTTTCTGTTTCTGTTGTTCTTGCCGTCAGCATAACTTTTTTTTGTGTCCCTATCTTTCAGGCTACATCCATCCCACTATTATCTACGCTCTCTGGAACCCCCATTCACTCCCATTCCTCTGCATAGAACCTCTCGAATCTGTCAATTGACAGCATTTACCATTCGACAGGAGATAGCCCCCGTTCCTCCCTGTTGAACTTGAAAATAAAAGTGATATGGAGGGAGAATTATGTGTAGTATGGTTATGGTGCGTGTGGGGAAAGGGGAATGCATGGGGGGAACTATATCTATATGGCACGAAAAACTTTACTTTGGCACGCTTCTGGCATAAGTTTTTCCCACTTTCTGATATCATTTGGGCTTACAAAATGCTTTTTAATGCCTGAAAATAATCTACCAAAAAGCGAGGAAACTTTTGCACAACTATCTAGGGGGAGCACTACAAAGCGACGGGGGGTAGGGTGGAGTGTGTGAATATATGTGAATTATATCCCCCCATTGGACTCACTCAATCGGTTTCGTTTCTCAATTTGTTGTGTGTTTAGTGGCGTCCCTTTCCCCCTTTCCTCTCTGGAGAATACTTGTATGAAACACTATTAAGTTTATGGCACCTCTTCACCCCTCTCCCATGTGCGCTTGTGTGTGTAATCATTTAATAAATAAAATGTGTTGATTTGACATCTTAATTGGGGGTTTGACAGTAGGTTTTTATTGTGGATTTTGCCTTTGCCGCTCATAAAAGGGGCAGGCAGAAGCCAAAGCCAAAGAACAAACTGCCTGTCGACGCCTGACATTAGAACTTCGTAGAACGTTGCTCGAGAAATCAATGAACTCTCTCGGGAGGCAAGAAGCTTTGCCTCTGGTGGCAAATTATTAGATTTGTTAGCGGCAAGAGATGGGGATGGGGGCTGCGGGCTGTGTGCTGTGGCTGTGGCTGGGAGCTTCAAGGAATTAAAAATACATTAAAAGTTTCTTTCTGTGGAAACAAGAGATTATGAGTAGAAAAGAAATGGGAGAAAGGGCCGAATGGAAGAGAGATTTAAGCAGGGTAAAAGTTAGGTATATTAAGCGGAATGTTTAATGCGGAAAATCAATTAAACTTTTAGTAGATGTTCTGGCAGTAAGTCAAGAATCTTTTTCACAATTTCTTTAAATCTAAATTGAAATTTGACACACTTTTTATGTTAAAGAACATCTTCATTAATATGACTCATTTCTTATTACATTTTCATTAAAAGTTCTCTGGGAGGAGCCTATTTTGTTGCTTCATTTTAATCCCTTCCTTCCTCTCCTTGTACTCCCTGAAGTACCTTCTTCCAATTTGAATGGAGTTTTCCTTAGAAAAATGTCCATGCCATGTTGAGTGGTGCAATGGAAATGCTTAAGGAAGAAGGACAATAACCACAACAGCAGCAGCTATGCTTAAGGAAGGTGGTTCCAAGAAGGTTTTCTACCTCTATCCACCGATCCCTCTCTCCCCTTCACACTTCTAGCTCTGCTTGTTCCTCTCTGGTGCTGTGTGCGTTTTCCATGCGTTTTTCCATGCAGGTTTTTATGAGTATTTTCTTGCCTTTTGGTTTTTATTGTGTTTGCGTTCTTGATGTTGTTTTATTTATGCCGTTCGTCTACCTGCTGCTTGCTTGTCCCTCCCGCACACACTCTACTTTGCCGCTCCCTTTCCCTGCTCTGGGTTTCTCCTGCAGCCTTTTTGCCTTTGAGTTTTTCCACATTCATTTCATTTCCTGGTGCCTGCCGCTGCCGGCACCCAAAAAACTTCATTCTCTGTCCCCTATCAACCGCTCTTGACGTGTTTTTAGCGCGTGAATTATGATTGTGGCTTAGTTTTTCTCACTTTTCCGGAGTTGTTGCTCTGCCAGGCAAAGGATATGCCATAGAGAGAGAGAGAGAGGGAGAGCGTGTAAAAGAGAGGGAATTAGAGGAAGGAGTGTGAGAGATGCAGAGAAATATCTGCAACTGCTGCAGCTTTGAAATTAAAATAAATTAAACAAATATTTTGTTTGTTTCCAAAACACTTTTTCATCCACGTGCGAAATATTCAGCGACGTGTGCAGGAATATTCTGCCACAGCGCAATGCAGAGAAAAGGATAGGAAGGATATAGCAACAGCTGCAGCAGAGACAAACGAGACGAAAAAAGAACACAAAATGCAGAATAGAGGATTCCTGGGGAAATATGAAATGAGAAGCGAGGCGCAAAAAGGAAATTTATTCACAATTTTGCATTTGGAAAATCAAAGTTTCGGGCGCGGGGTAGAGGAGATAGAGGCAGGTAGAGAGCGGGGCTAAATCTAAAGCCAAAGCGGCTTGGGCGCTTCAAAGAGGAACATTTTCATATAAATAAATGGTTTAGTTGTATGCTAGTTCTTTGAGGGTTTCTCCAGCTCTACGAAAATAAATGTTTCGGCTGGAGGAATATCAGAGAATATCAGCTTGAAAAATATTAAAGAACACTAGAAATAACTACAACAAATTAAGAGAAAAAATACAATTTAAATATATACATCGGTACCCACGTCTTGGGTACATTTTAAAGGGTTTCATAATAAATACAAATTTACCAAATGTAAGGTATCCAGCACAGCACTCCAGCTGCTCCCATGGATATTCCCCCATCAGCCATCTAAATCCATTCAAAGTTTAGTTTTTTGTGAAATTGTTTAGTTTTTTGGCATATGACAATTTATGACTCGCACGGGGGAGCGACTGTGGCACTATTTGTATCTCTATATTTGTATTTGTGTATATGCCACATGCCCATCTTTATCTTCCGGGCCCTACCTACCTCCCTGCCGACGAGTGTGAGGTGGGTGGCGGTTTAAAACGCGCAGCTGTTTAAACAACTTCCAACAGCCGAAATGCAGCTACAAAAAAGTGAGCTAAAAAACCAGATCCAACAAAAAAGAGAAGAGAATTCCTCAACATTCAAACGAGTAGCCCGCAGATACAGCACACGTACACTCAGATACAGATGCAAATACAAATGCAGATACCCTACAAAATAAATGCAATAAAAATTCAATAATATTTGCTGACCGCCGTCAAAGTTTTTAACCCCTCAGTGGCCTCGTCATTGGTTTTGGTTTAACACAAAAATTGTAGCGCCAACATTTGCAGAATGTCGAATGTGAATATGAATATGAATACTCACTCGCATGAATCGAATTTTTCTATGTTTTTACCGTTTGCGGCGGCAATGATTTTTACCTTTTCGCGCGTTTGTCATCAAACAAAAGTTCATTTTTCTGCGGTGGAAAAATATTAGTGGTTTGTTTTTAAAGAACTTTCTGCTTGGCATAACAATTAATTTTGTATTTATTTATAATTTATTTATGCAGTTTTTATGGGTTTTTTTCTCGCTTGCATTCTTTAAGCGTTTGTAGGCGATAAAAATCGCTGGAGAAACGTCAGACAGTCGCGTCAGAGACGCGCTTTAGAGTCGCGCTTCAAGACGTGAAGGCATTTCTTGACCAAGTTAGCAGCCGGCCACAGCCGACTGTCACGCTTCAACGGTTGGGGCTGCCGCACCTCAGCTGAGGCTCCGCTCCACACGCTCTCCTCTCTCTCCTGTCCACACTCTACCCTCTTAGTGAGGGAGTCCCACACACCTTTTCTCTTATTTTTGATTGGAAGACTGCTACTGGAATTGGAATTGGGAATGCGAATTTGATTTTGGGTCTTGGGGGGGGGGGGGGGGGGGGG